GTGTGTGTGTGTCTGTGTGTGCGTGTGTGTGTGTCTGTGTGTGCGTGTGTGTGTGCGTGTGCTCGGCGCGCACGGACGGGAGCAGTGTCTGCGTTGAAGACAAACCGCAAGGCAGAAGCACAGACGAGGAGCTCTTTTGTCTCGGCCTTGTAAACAAGTGGGAAAGAGGAATGTGTCACCGCTGATGAACTCGGAATTTTGCAGCAATCCGCCTGGCCAGATCCCGGCTTTACCAGCAGCAGCGTCAACTGTCAAAATCAAATCTGATGCTAATAGCTTCGGTACTAAATAAAATGAGAGGCCAGATAACATCAGTGCTTGATAAATGGTAATGAGTGTCTAACCTAGGGGAACAGAAGGGCTGTGGGGCTCTTTAATTCAGTATTGAAAGGCTAGCTGGGTACTGCAGGCTCTAGCAGATGTTAGTATGTGTGTGTTTTGATTTTTGACTTGTATTGGACGTTTATTAGGCTAACCAGAGCCACCCCACGCATGGCCACTTGGTCCAGGCACCATCTGGCACAAGCAGGGCGGCGTGCAAGAATAGGGCCTCGCGTTGGTGCGGAGGATCCACAGGCAGCATCTACCATATGGACCCAGAGCTAATGTAGGTTAAAGCAAGACAAGCTGATCTCTGCTTTTCACAGTTTCGCCAAACCTTTCTGCCATCCTGGCGCCACGTACCTTGGCGGCTGGGGAAGTGCTCCCCCCTCCGCCTTCCCCAAAACCTGGCAAGCCGGGTGCGAGCCCCAGAGCGCTCCCCGGCCCTCTCGGCCTTCCTTGGGTGGCCGCTGTTTTTCAAGTCAAACTTCGCGCCTACTGCCGCTCGCTCCCGGCACAGCAGAAGTCGCTCCAGCTCCCCACGTGTGAGACCCCCTCTCCCAACAAATATCAGCAGAAGCTGGTGTGACTGGTGCAAAACAGACGTAGAATTCTCGTCCTCGAAACTCCGGGGCATTATTGTGATTGCAGCTATAAAAAGAGCCCATAATAAAATAATAACCGGGGAATATAATAAACCACCTGCTGCATGTTGACACACACGCACACAGAGTTCAGATAAAAAGGAAAAAAAATAAAAAAGAGTTGCATTAATTGCATCAAACAGCTGAGCCTGAAAATCGACCAAGAAAAGATGAGAAGCGCAACTTCTGCAGACTCTTCCCTGTGCCCAGCGCGCCATCCGGGGTTCCTTCGCACAGCCAGAGCGCAGCGACCTCCTTCAGGAGCCTCGGCTCCGTTCGAGGGGCTCATGCCGTCGGGCCAGGGGCAGGGGTCGGGGGGAGCGGGCCTGCAGAGCCCCCGGCTTTGCC